GAGCTCTTCTTCTGCTTCCAAGACTGTAGAGTAGATGTCCCATTCTCTTGCTTCTCACTAAGTACAAGGAAAACCTCTTATGTTTAAAACAGATATAAAGAAACTGAAAGATGGAGAGAAATCAGGCCAGCTAAACATGACAATACCTCTGGTATCGACCTCTGGTAGCATTGTGGATATGTGTGGGGCTGCTAACCATGAGTTGGAACCAGTCTGTGGGAGAACGACAGGGCTTTTGACTCCTCTAAACAGTTACAAGCTCGAAGATCACAGTGGCACTTCTACTTTGTCCTGTAGGGCCACTATGAGTTGGCATTTACTTGATTGTAGTGAGTACGTGAGAAGGAATAATATGTTAGTGACTCTCCTTTTGCTTTCTATAGCCTCACTTTAGGACCAAATAAGCCAGAACTCAAACATTAAGGTTTGCAAGCAAAAAGCCTGATTTTTCTAGACATAGGAGGACCAGAAATGGGGCAGAAAAATTTTAAACTCTTCCTCATTCTACTCTAGTCAAACAACACAAAAACAAAATAGCATAAGAGGAAACAAAAACACACTATTGTACCAAACCTACCCACATGAGTAAAGTTGGAATGTAGATCCTAAGCACCCATGATTTCTAGGTTTAAACAATGTAGTTTAATCTTTCCGTGAAGTTGTAGCACAAAAGGTTGAGTAAAAAGCAAGCATTTTTATTCCTGCTGGGCATTAATGACTACCAACCCATCCAATATCAGTGCAGAGCATGTGAGAAGCTTAGATTCTGCAGTAAGGAGGCATCCTCCTCTCTTCCTACTGTAATGGTCAAAGGAGGTCTGGTGAAGAGTGAAGATTTTCACCACTACTCAGCATCAATGAGTTTGCCTACCCGATGTTGTCAATGCAGGCTAATTGGGGAGCAGTGAGGAAGCAGTCCATATCTTCTGTATCTAGGAGTGTCAATGGGAACTGTGTCAGTTTGGGTAAACTAGGGAAACAAATCCACAGAAACTCATGTATAAAAGAGAATTTTATATAAAGGTTAAGTGCTCATCAAGAAAACATCCCAACCCAGTGCGGCCCAAGCCCACAAGTCCAGCATTAACCCAAATGTCCGACACCAATCCACAAAGTCCTCCTCCATCTCACAAAACACATGCAATGATGCCGACTGCAGGAGGAAAGCCAAATCAGTGAACTTGTAAGCATTTCAGTGCTGGCAGGGGTCTCTACATGACTGCTCCAGCACCTAGGGCTGCATTGGCCTAGGTCCATGTGGCTTCTTCTCGGGGATGTCTTGCAGGAAGTCAGCCTTGCCAGCTGAAGCAGGGAACTGGCTAAGGCAGCTGAACCTGGTCTGACCATCAGAAAGCAAGAGACCCGAAAACTCGAAAGGCAAGGCTCACCGATCCATTTATCTCTCTTCCCTTTAATGAACCCCACATGTGTTTATCGGCTATGTTGGCACAATAAACGTTAACTACCTCAGGAGCCTATAGTTCCCACCCTCACTTAGCACTAATGCAGACCCTCCAAACTCAGCTGTCAGAGGAGGCTGAGTTGGTAACCGGAATTTCTACTACTAACTGGAAACAACAAGGCACCGTTCTCCCTTTGCCCTGCCAGAAAGTTGTGAAAAGTAGGCTTAAATAAGATCACCTATTAACATAATTCCTAAGATGTCCAGTTTCTATCAAACATCACTCATCAGATCCAGGAAGATCACACAGGGAATGATAAATGACAATCAGTAGATGTCAACGCCAAGATGATAGAAATATAAGAATATCTGACAAGTGTTTTAAAGCAATCATTATAAAATTGCTTCAACAAGCAATTACGAACACACTTGAAGCAAGTGTAAAAACAAAATAGAAGATATAAATATAGAATAACCAAATGGAATTATTAGGGCTAAAATTGAAATAGCAAATATATATATTTTAACTTTAAAGTCACAATAGTTGAATGGAGAGGACTGCAGAAACAAGGAAGACTAAGTACTTGGGAGATAGACCTACAAAAATTACTGACTCTAAACACCAGAATTAAAATAAATTGGATACAAATACGAATACAGTTCTATTGTGCACGTCATCAGAGTCTGATCATTTGCTCAGCATACAGATTACATAAGTATGATGAGAGGATGCACACCTTCCCTGATGTCAAACCATGAAGTATCTCCTTGCTTTGTTCACACAACTGCCTCTTCATCGATGTACAGGTTAAACATTAACACAATGAAGTAATCTGGAAATCCTATTCTTTGTGCAGTCAGGAAAACACAAGTAAACATTCTGTTATTTTCTGCTTTTGGTCAAGATCAATATGGTATCAGCAATAATATCCTTTTTTCTTTGTCCACTTCTGAAGACAACCGGAACCTTGGAAGCTCCCTGTCGATGTACTACTGCAACCATTGTTGGATGATCAGCAACATTTTACTTGCATGTGATATCAATGTTGTGATATTGTTCTATAATTTGAGTTCTATACTTTGTGGTGTTATCACAGGTGATGTTCTATAATCTGAGTGTTCTGTTGTCACATTTCTTTTGAGCGGGTACAAATATGGATCTTCTCAGTCAGTTGGCCAAGTAGTTGTCTTCCAAATTTCTTGGCATAGACGAGCGAGCCCTACCAGTGCTTCATTAACTTATTGTAGCATTTGTTAGTATTCCATTAATTCCTGGAGCCTTGTTTTTGACTAATGCTTTTAGTATTGCTGTAACTTCTTCCTTCAGTACATTGTTTTTTGCTTCTGTGCTACTTATTGTAATGGTTGAAGGTCAACGACTTCTTTTTGATATAGTAATAGTGTATTTTCCCCACCTTCTTTATACACTTCCTGCATAATTTAATATTTTTTTCCTATATAATCTTTCACTCTTGAAATTTGTACTTTAATTTTTTTCTTTAGTTTCTGATATGCTGAGTGTGTTATTCCTTTTTTGGTTTTTTAACTCTAGGTCTTTGCATATGTCATTATAATGTTTTACTTTGTCTTCTTGAGTTTCCCTTTGAAATGTTCTCTTCAGCTCTTTAACTTCATAATTTTTTCCAGTTGCCTTCGCTACCCTATGATTCAGAGCAAGTTTCAGAGTCTCTTCTGAGGTCTATTTTTATCCCTTTTTACTTACCTTTTACTTTCTTTGTGAGTGATGTTCTTCCTGTCAGCCCCCAGCTCATCAAGTCTTTTGTCATTGTTGATCAATGCATCAAACCTGTTGTTGAGGTATTCTGGAAATTCATGTGGGTTTGACACAAGGTCTCATTTTGTCTCTAATGGCCTTGTTTTCATTTTCTTCAGTTTCAACTTGAACTTACGCATGAGCACAGTCTGCTCATAGTTTGGTATTGGCTGCTGATATTGAGGCTTCTCCATTTTGTGTTCCCACAGAGGTAGTCAATTTGATTTCTGTGTATCCCATCTGGAGAATCCACATGTATAGTCACTGGGTTGCTGAACAGGGGTATTTGCTATAAATAAGTCACTGATCTTTCACAATTCCATCATGTGATATCCAGATTTGTTTCTATTACAAAAAGCACAATATCCAACTACTGTTCCTTTTGTTTCCAAATTTTACGTTCAATCACCAATAATTATCAATACATCTTGATTGCATATTTGATTAATGTCATACTGAAGACATTGGTAGAATGCTTCAA